AAAGAGGACCGAAAGGGGAGTGGAGTTTGCAGGAGACCATTAGTTCGCTTCATTGGTTCATGACTCTCCGAGATGCCTTGCCAAGTTTTGCAGATCTCAGCCTGGCAGCTCTCCAAGCCAGATAAGGTCTGTGACTGTAAATCCTCCCTGGAAAGACTTTGCTGGATGTGAATGAGCAGAATTCACAGGCAATTAATAAAAGGGGTTTTATTCGGGACCAGGAGTTTGCTTCCTGCTCTTGGGAAGCCTCGGCCAGAAGAACATCCAATGGGCCATGGTGAAAAACCAGATCTAGACGACCCTTGTTGACCCAGTGACATTTTTGAATTGGGATTAATTTTTTGAACAAGAGGGAAGATCTGAGGTAGTTATTCCTTTGAAACATAAATTTGGGAGCATGTAGAATTGGTGAAGAGCGGAGAGCAATTGGTCGTGCTATATAACCTTAGAGACATTAACCAGGAGAATAAGGAAGCAAGAGTTTGGAGTGGCGCGGTGGCCTAGTGGTGGAGCTCTCGCCTCACAATCAGGAGGTTGTGAGTTCAATCCTAGGTAGAGGCAGATATTTCTCTCTGTGGGCAACATGAGAGTATATAACTGCTGAACAAAACTCCGCATTGGCGACAGGGAAGGGCATCTGGCCATGAAAATATTCTGCTAGCTCCATTCAGTTGCTCCGAGTCCACCCCACAAGGGATTATTATGGGGTCATTAAAAAATGATGAATATGGAAGTGTGTGTTTGGAGAGATACCTCGGAAGGTCATAATAGTTCATAATCTGTAATCGGTTGACAAAACTCTTGAGAGGTTTAATTTCCTATGTACTAAAAGAGAAGTTACAATCAGGACATACTTGCTGACCCAGAGTTCTGATTTTCCACCCCTTCTAGGGGCGTCCTGCTGGCTTGGAGGGAAAGATTGTTGGGAACCAGCTGGAAGGTCTCCGGCTACAGCATCATTCAGTGACGGAGCAGGTGAGATGTCAGTCCTGGCATTTGTTCACTGTCCCATCTTTCTCCTTCTGCCATCTCCCCAGCCCCCAGGAGCTCTCTGAAAGCCTCCACGGCCATTTTGGTGAAGGGGGCGGGGTTTCAGTAGGCAAAAAATGCTGAATTCATTGTATAATACGCACCCAGATTTTCAGCCTCCTTTTTGAGGGAAAAAGGTGTGTCTTATACTCTGAAAAATACGGTAGTTTGGGGGGGGGATTTGCACAGACTTGCAGCTTTAGTACAGAACAGTTGGACGCCCAGACACCGAGCTGTCTCCAGCAAATACTGTTTCAGTTTCTAAACAGCCCTCATTGGCTGACTGAGTTGCTAGGCCCATTCATTGGCTGATCTTGTTCCCATGTCTCTCCCAGCCATGAATCCTCTGACTGTTCTGAATGGGGTTTGCCTTAACGAAGCTCTCTCCCATTCCTGCACACTCCAAGCATCTCTTCTGAACTTGAAGCATCCGTCAACTTTTATAACCCCACGTTAGCCAATTGCAGATCCCGCTGGATCTAGATTTAGCTCATATGGCATTCGTAGCTTCTAGAAACCCTCAAACCTGGGTATAATTGTCATTAATCAGACTATTGTTTCCATCTGTTTCTGTTCCCCAAAAGCTGAAGGAACTGTTTAGGCAGAGGCAAGAGCCGCGAGCCGGATCCAGGAAGCATCAGGAAGGGGGAGTCAAGGCAAGGAGCACAACGCCACCTCAGAACTTCCCGCGAGTGATGGTGAGATTCCACCTTTCCATCATCTTCATGGCCACCAGTTGAGTCCCAGCTGCCTGGATACCGACCCTTGTTTTTGGGACGTTGGAGGTCCCACTGGAGCAGGGGTGATCAGCCAGTCCTACCTAGAATGGGTTGTAGGCAGTGGTGGGTTTCAAAAAAATTTCGAACCTACTCTGTGGGTGTGGCCTCCTTTGTGGGAGTGGCTTGCAGGCCATGTGACCTGGTGGGAGTGGCCTGCTGGCCATGTGTTTTCTTTCTTTCTCTCTTTCTCTTTTCTTCCTTTTGTGTCTCTGTCCCTTTTTCCTTTTTTTCTTTCATCTCTCACTTTTTCTTTCTTTTTTTTTCTTCCTTTCTTTCCCTTTCTCTCTCTCTCTCTCCCTCGGTGTGTGTATGTGTTTGTGAGTGGTGGGTTTCAAAAATTTTTGGAACCTCTTCTGTAGGTGTGGCCTGCTTTCTGGTGGAACCTCTTCTAACCGGTTCAGTAGATTTGACGAACCGGTTCTACCAAACTGGTGCGAACTGGTAGGAACCCACCTCTGGTTGTAGGTGTTCTGACCGAGGCTTCCCNATCTATCTATCTATCTATCTATCTATCTATCTATCTATCTATCTATCTATCATCTATCTATCTTGGTTCAAGAAAACAATTTGCCCTTGTATTTTTTAGATGGGAGGCTGTTTTCCTTTTCGAAGGAGGCTTTGTCTGTAGTTTATGAATGAAAAATGAACTCTAAAAGATTTCTCTCTCGTGGATATATAGTGTTCATAGCAAAATAGACCAATAGAGAAATATGAAATGATAAATTTGATGTAATCTTTGAAGGGGCAATTGATTATGTATTAAGTTTATGTATTAAGTTTATGTATTAAGAAAACAATAAGTATAAAAATGGAAAATGCCGAAAGAAAATAATTTAGCTGAAAGTGAAAACCAAACTATGATGTAAAATTGATTAAGTACTGTATTTTTCAGAGTATAAGGCGCGCCTTTTCCCTCGCTAAAAGAGTGTGGAAATGTTGGTGCGTCTTATACACCAAATACAGCCATTTCTAGCCTCCCAAAGTGCCCCTCCAGATGAAAACCAGAGGCGTTTTTGCCTTCTCCCAGCCCTGCTGAAGCCTGCGGAATGCTCCTGGGGCCCAGGGAAGACAAAACCTTTTCCCCCCCTTACTTATCTCTTCAAACTCTGGGTGCGTCGTATACACTGGTGCGTCTTATAGTCCGGAAAATATGGTAGGTAAATGAGAGGGTGTGAAAGGAAAAGATCCGGTCAACACTTTGTTTCTGTAATATGTGTAAAGTTGCATTAAAAACAAATTAAAAAAAAACTTTGGATAGGAAAGAAAGAAAGAAAGATTTCTCTCTCGTGACAACTTCATTGCAGAAGAACGTGGCTTTGCTTCAACAAATCCAGCATCTCAGTCTGGAGTTGAAGCATGCCCAGAAAAACCAAGAAGGATCTGGGGAACAGATCTCGGCTCTCAAACCAGAGCTTGCGAGTGATAAGAATCGGGCCAACCAAGAGGAAGAAACGAAAGTCCTCGTGAAGGAGGAGATGCAATTCTCCTCCCAGGCGAACAAAGAGCTTTCTTCTACGGCAGCTGAGAGCCACCCAGGGCTGGGAGCTCTTGTAGAAAAGCTGCATCTTCTGGAGGAGGAGAAGAAGTCCCACGCTAACCACATCCGGGCTCTGGAGGACGAGCGGACCCAGTTACTGGAAGAGAAGGAGAAATACCTCCTCGAAAGAACGGCTGAGTGGCAGGGCCAGGAGGAGAGCAGGAAAGCCCTGCAGGAAAGCTGTGAACATCTCAGGTAAGAAGCTTTCAGACCTTCTCCCCAGATGCCCAACAAAAAATATTTCTGGTTTTAAGTCTAAATGTTGCTTTATCATTTTTTTCCAACCTTGTGTGTATTTTTGTCCAATATTTTGTTTGCTTTCAAGAAATGATTTTATTTCTTGAGCATATCCATTCCATTGGTGTTTCAAGGCAGTTGACAACCTACTTGTCGGGCTTCCAAAAAATACCCCCAACAAAATAAAACTCTGACGCTTGGGTTTCCTCAACGTTCCACTTTATTAGAGATGTCCTATTGGCACATCTGGGGAAACCCGAATCTGAAAGCTTCCAGGTTTTCCCCACCCAGTTGAAAGTTCAAGAACCTGCCCCATCACCCACAAGTCCATCCCACGGTCCAATCCTCCCCTGCCATGAAAACAGAGTTCACCCATCCAGTTCCGGCCAAATGCAGAGACAAAGATGACCTTGACTTTCTAAGAAGAATGTTATTATGGCTACATATCATCCAACTCCATATAATCCCCCACCTCCCATTTCCCCACAATAGAAAGTAAACAATAGAAAGTGTGGCAGGCCTGAAGTCCAAAAAAGAAAAGATGGCTTGCAGGCATGACACCACTTGAGTCAAGAGAACAAGGTAGCCCAATGGTTAAAGGGATTGGGCTGAAAAGGACTTCCCTTAGAAGGAACTCCTTAGAAGGAACTCCATAGGTACAAAAATCGGTTCCCCGATTCCTTTCCAGGCAGCTTTGAAGACTTCACGAAAGCTTTTTGATGGACCTATCTTGTTTCCCCTTGGTTCCGTACTCCCTAGGGAATCTCAGATCCAGATGCAGAAGGAGAAGGGCCTTCTACAGGTGCACTGCCAGGACCTTGAAAGACAAGCCGAAGAGTTGGGCAAGCAGCTGGACGAGCAACGGACCATCTCCCAAGACTGGAGAAACCAATGGGAGGACATGGATGCCGCTTTGAGGACCAAAGGAGAAGAGTTGGACAAAATGAGGGCCCAGAACCAGGCCCTCCAAGCCAAGGTGGGGCCAACAGTTTCTTGGTAGTTTCCCTCCCCTTCCTTGTCTCCTGGCTGTTCAATTGTCCTAGCTCTTTTGAACTTTCAGCTCTAGGCAAGGATCAGTAGTGTCCTTGGTGCTCTCTGAGCTTGGTGGCTTCCTTCTAGACCTTTCATTGCCCAAATTAGGTAACATCATCAGTCCTAGAAGGGAGGTGGGTTGGAGGGGGAGGAGGAGGAGGAGGAAGAAGAGGAGGAGGAGAAGAAGAAGAAGAAGAAGAAGAGGAGGAGGAAGAAGAAGACGACGACTGTGGGCTCCTTGGTGCTCTCTGAGCTTGGTAGTTTTTTCCTAGACTTTTCATTGCCCAAACTAGGTAACATCATCAGTCCTAGAAGGTAGGTGGGTTAGAGGAGGAGGAAGAAGGGGAAGAGGAAGAAGAAGAAGTAGAAGAAGAAGAGGAGGAGGAAGAGAAGGAGGCGGAGGAGAAGGAGGATTGTGGGATCCTTGGTGCTGTCTGAGCTTAGTGGTTTTCTTCTAGACTTTTCATTGCCCAAACTAGGTAACATCAGTCCTAGAAGGTAGGTGGGTTGGAGGAGGAGGAGGAAGAGGAGGAGGAGGAGGAGGAGGAGGAGGAGAAGAAGAAGAAGAAAAAGAAGAAGAAGAAGAAGAAGAAGAAGAAGAAGAAGAAGATGATGATGATTGTGGGCTCCTTGGTGCTCCCTGAGCTTGGTAGTTTTTTTCTAGACTTTCCATTGCCCAAACTAGGTAACTTCATCAGTCCTGGAAGGTAGTTGAGTGGGAGGAGGAGGAGGAGGAGGCAGAGGAGGAGGGAAGAAGAAGAAGAAGANGGGAGGGAATGGGGATTTTGCAGTATCCTTCCCCTGGAGTGGGGAGGGAATGGGGATTTTGCAGTATCCTTCCCCTGGAGTGGGGAGTTTGCAGTATCCTTTCCCTGGAGTGGGGAGGGAATGGGGATTTTGCAGTATCCTTCCCCTGCCATGCCCACAGAACGGTAGTAAAACATTTTGAATCCCACCATTGGTTCCCGGGACAGAAGACACATCAGGCAGGGGATCTGACTTTGGGAAGGAAAGTTCTGTGTTTGCACGGAGATTTTTTTCTCCTGCTTCTAATGAGGCTGCTCCTCTTTCTAAAATATATCTACATATATATATAAATGGCTCTGTGTTTATGTGTGTGTGTGTGTTCCAGCGTTACTCTGGAACGCCTCGAGCGATTTCAACCACACGTGGTACAGATGACTTAGTCTCCGGAAACAAATACTGGGGAGGGGGGGGGGAAGATACCCCTATCACCCCTCGGGGTGTATGTTCTATTAAGATACAGCCTGTAGTGCCTTCAAATGGCTTCTACTGTACTGCCGTAAAATGGATTCTACCGTACAGTGCACTGGAGTTGCCATGGTAACAGCTTCACAGTATTCCACAAGGGGTCTCCATCTGGGAAAATCCAACGTTAGAAATTATATTTGGTCCGGGCATTTCCCCCCTATAAATAAATAGCTGGGCAATGCCGGGTTATCAGCTAGTTATGGTATTAAAAAAAAACTGGATTGGATTTAATCTTTGCCTAGTTATGGAACATCTTCAAGTTGATAATAAGCATCTTCCCAAGTCAGGGCTTCTTCTAATCCCAAGGTTGCTTGAAGCTCTTACTTTTGGGGAGAGATCGTTTATCTCTTTAGCAGAAAGGGATGCGAAAATAAGAAACCACCATAAAACACAAGGAGGGCAGGAAGTTGGCTTATTTTTCAGAGCTTAGCTGGGGGTCTCCAATTAAGAGTCTGGCTCTTGCAACCTTGAATTTTCTCTCCCGTTGGAATTCTCTTGGGTTTGGAGAAGATTGGCCCTGGTGCTCTCTGCCAAGTTGCTCAGCCAGCTGCTGTTGATGTCCCTGGGTGTAACTCAATACTCAGCATCACCTCCCTCCCCATCGATTCCAACAAAGCTATTCGCTGTTTCAGCTGGAGGGACATTTCCTGGTGGGTTCACCATCGAGATTTGAGAAAAGGAAGAGAATCATGTCCTCCTTCTAGAGCAGAGGTCACCAATCCTCCGGACCTTTGGGATCATTAAATCCATAATTTTAAATCATGCTGACCCTTAATCCGGTCTGCCTAATGGCCAGGTGATCATGTGACTTGGTGGGCGTGGCCAGGGGGTCATGTCACTCACGTCATGGGGCACCTCACTGGCCTCTATTCGCCCCTCCCCTCCCAGCCACTCCTCGCTTGCCCGCCCAGCCGCCTTAGGTCCACAACAGAAAGCAG